AAAGGCTCTTGCTACACGCCAGCTGAGAATCACTGCCATAGAACAGTAGCACTTGACCACTGGCCCCATGGGCCAAATCAATAAATCAATGGTGTGGGGCCAGTCAACAGGCCAGATCAGACTCCTGCATGTCAGTAACAGGCCCTTCACTCTCCTGGTGTGCCAGAGTCAGGCCCCAGGGCCCTGTGCCACCCAGACCCAGTCCCACGGGCTTTCCAGGGCCCTGTGCCATCCTTGTGTGCCAGAATCAGGCCCTGGGGCCCCACAATCCTGTGCTGCGATCAGGCCACACATGCCAGGATTAGATCCCAGGCCCTGTGCTGCCCTCACATGCCAGGATCAGGTTTTCAGGCCTGAAGTTACTCCTGCCTGGTCCCATGTACTGGGATCACTCCCCAGGGCCCCACAACACTCTGCATGCCTGATCTAGTGTGTGGGGAGCCCCAAGAGTCAGATGACACAGTGCCAAGAGCCAGATCTGGTCTGCAGGCCAGCAGTTGAGCACCCCTGCCACAGACTGTAGCATTCAAACTGAACTAGGCACACACTAGGTAGAACAGAAAGACTTGCATATGGAGGGTGATTGTAATTAGAACTGGCTGGGAGAGTTCAGCGTGGTAGGTGTCCACAGGATATATCTCTGGGCCCACTCACTATGTTGACTATTTCAGGAATGGGGAACCACTGTTTCCAGAAGTCACAGCTACAAGGCAGTTTCATCATATGAATTGCCTCAGCACATCCAGCATTGTCGCTTCCACCTGCTGCTATTCCCAGGCAAGAATCATATCCTGCGGGAGGGGGCATCATTGACCTAAAGAAAGTGCACATCCAAGATACAAGCAAAGCAAATGCCCGCAGGTGGCACAACATTGAAAAATCCACAGGGTGGGCAGAACACCAGCCTCACTGGAGATCATAGGACCATAGGAAAGTAGGGCTGGGAGGGACCTCACAAGGTCATCTAGTCCAGCCCCCAGCTCAAGGCAGGATTATCCTTGATGAAATCATCCCAGCCAAGTGTCTGTCTAAAGAAAAGCAAGGTCATGCTAAGGGTTTAAAGAGTGAGAACTGGGTGCAAGGAAATGAGATGAAGAAACCATGGCCTGAAGAAAGGAAAGGATCTATTTCAATTACATCAGAGGAAGATGGAGGAGATGCAAATGGAAAGATGGAAACTTTGGATCCAAAATCACAGGAACCAAGTACTATAGCCCAAAATCATGAGCAGATGTGTAAACCTCTTTGTCTGTGATCTACTCAGTAGTGGGAGACAGAGGCCAACCTGTCCTAGCACCATTTACCAGGTAAGAAAGTAGGAAGGAACACACTAGCTGAAAAGGTTTGCATTTCAAAGGAACAGCTGACATTTGGAGACTTCTTGGACCCTCAGCTCTTGTACTTTGACCCCTAAACAATATACTTGTCTTTTAAACTGGCTTCTGAATTTTTCATCCATAATGAACAGTGAGGAATCAATCATGGGGCGCCGGGGGGGGGAGGTGCGGGCAGGAAGGGCCATCTTAATTTCTCAGTATTGTTGTATATATATGTAACCCACACTTGAATAGCATGGCTCACTTTTTCCCTCTAGTGGTAAAAGCAGAGGCTAAGCCAAAAAGAGTTTCTGAGCTGAGGGCCTGAAGTAAAAGCTTGTGCCTTTCAGCTCCAGAAGTCCCAGGTTCAATTTCCATTGCTGACAACTTATCCCGGAGCAGGATATACTCAGAAATGTATACCATAGTGTACTCAGATATGTCAGCCTGCAGCATTTCCAGCAATCCTCCCTTTTCACTGATAAATGAATACCCTGAGAAAGGCAAGCTTTTTCTTTTAAACATGTTTATTTAAAGGTAAATATAGCTAATAGCTAGAATGGCCCCAGTTCCACTATAGATCTCTTCTGTCAGCTACCAGCTGTCATCTGCCTCAGTACAGAATTATATCTCAGGCAAAAGCAACAGACCACAGAATAGTACTTCTTAAATATACACAGGCATTTCATGGAGGATTAAAGAATTTTGTTCTGTTCCATATGGGTTTCTGTACTGCATCGATCTCCAGAGTATCTGTAAAAGAAATGTCTAGAATCCCTTTCAAGCATTCTCATAAGATTCCCCTTTGCATTAGAGCATAAATAACGCAACTTTCAATATACCTTCCAGTCTACATACACTTGCAATAGATGAGCTTGAAATCGACTTAAAATGGCTGATACAGCTTAGATGATGATGAAACTGCTTTCACACCACAAATATTTTTGATGTCTTCAGGAAGGGTTGAGAAGGCACACTTGGACACGCTTCCATATACACAGCATGTACTGCCAGTAAAATTCTCATAAGGCAACAAAATTAAGAAAAAGAAAAATATAAAATGCATTTATTTTAATTGCTGTAACCACTCAAAATGTCTCTGGATGCATTAACCACTTCCCCGATATCACAACCATATCACAAGCTGAATTTGTATTGAGAATACACAACATGCACTATATATAATATGCATTCTTCTATATATTCAATGTACACTTCAGAACCACCCAAAAAGATTTCTGAATCTGCCAGTATATCCCTGATCACGGTGTTTAGGAGTTATTTATGCTATTTGTCAGACACCATGGAAAAAAGGAAATACTGGAAAAAAATACCTTTGCAGAAGAGAGTTATGTTTACATAGAGGAGACAATAGGGGGGTGTGAATTAAGGCAAAAATGAATGCTATATGGATGGTAACGCTACATATAATATATAACTGATATTCAAATTACTCAAACAATGGAAGGATTTTGTTCCTTAGGTTGAAGAAGTAGTGAACAGAACAATGACATGTATGGAACCAGAGGGATGTCAATGACTACTGGATGTCACTTTTTCATTTTGAGACTCCATTGTTTCTCTATAAGCTAAAAATTGCAGGCTCAGCCACACACTCCAATACATCCATTAAAACAGGTTTAAAAATAAATACTAGAGGAGGGTTTGTGCACTTATAGCAGCAAACATCCAGGAGGAATCAGTTTGGCACCAATCCTGCAAATGCTTATGCATGTGCTTAGCATTACAAACACCAGCCCTCCCAATGACTCCTAATTGTTTTTTGCTCCAAGAGGGAAGCTCACACAGTCTTAAAGGATGGGATTGTCAAGGGAGCCACTGACTTGCAATGGGAGCTCGCCTCCTTTGGATATCTAAGTCAAAATGCTTCCTGCATGTTAAAGTTTTGATTCTGTAAGCACCTAAGCACCTCTTTTCTTTTATGCATGCCTAACTCTAAATGCAACTTCACATGTGCACAAAGATAACACGTGTGCCGATGTGTTTGCAGTATCAGAACCCATGTGAACTCTCTGTCCTACCGAAGAGGAAACTGGTAAGATTTGCTCACATCTTTGCCCAAAATGCTGATTTTCCTTTTTAGCTGTCAGAACAGGCAAGTGAGGCCTTTTGGGGTGGAATTAGCTTAAAAAATGAATATATGTTTGTTTTTTTTAACAACTTGTGGTCAGAGTGCCTTTATCAAAAAAGATCTTGGACAGTCTGACCATACTGTTGGTGCTTGTGCTTGCAAAAAACAATATCCATAATACATGCACTTTTTAAAGTAAAAAGGGTATAATTTGATGCTTTTATGACATATGGAACGTAGTTTCTCAGAAGGACTGCATTTGTATACATATATGTGAGATCTGGATAAAAAGGTGTAAGTAAGCAGATTACTCGCAAGTCTGTTGTGAGACCATCAAAATCAAGTACACACTGGTCTGATGTTCAAGTGTTGACCTGTTAAGACAGCAATAAGGAAACAAGGATCTGGACATACAAACAACTTATTGTGGGGCTAAAGGGATAGGGCTTTACCATGTGTCACCTACTGTGGGCGACTGTCCACATGTATGTTCTTAATCCATGAAAGGTGGAAGCTGAGCCATGGGATACTATTCCTCTTTTATTGAGGACTAAGCTAATACAGTTTAGCTTTTGCTTACCACACGGTAAGACCTATACGCAGGCAGTTTCTGTGGAGCAGCTCATGCATGGTAAAGTACTGTCCTGGTAAGTCGGCCACTGTGAATGTGGCTGTGGCTGGCTACCCCAGGACACTAAATTATTCTGTCAAGGCACATTGGGCACAGAATTAATCGTACTGATTAAAATGAAAATTCAACTACTGTATGTGGCCATACAATTACCACTGTTAGTATTAACTACCATATCTTTGAAGTCACGAGTCAAATTCACCCTGGTTCAGACTACTAATTTTGCTCTACTTTACAGTTGAATCTTTGTTCTCTCTGGGCACATCTATATGTGCTATTACTGCGCATGAATAAACTGCAGAGCTTATTCATCTTGTGTAGACATGCCCTCCATATCTCACTGAGGACACCTGCTCACTTGCAAAAGGCACTAATTCATGATTGGGCCAAGATTCAAAACTCTCCGAACAAATTATAAAAGGGAAACATCAAGTAGAAGTTCTGTTGTTATCGTTTTTCAGAACTCCAGTCTCCTAAGCTTCCCATATCATCTGTTCTTTCAACTGTACCTGAGCTAGAGATCCTGTCTATTATACCCGCTCTGTCTGTGGAGTGTTCCTATGAAAGGAATATCTTCCTGCAGAGTAATACAGTATTAATACTAGCTGCCAATCTGAGAAGAATCAGATTTGCAATGTAAATCACCACTGATTCCAATGGTCTTTCAACAATTCCTTTTTCCTCCAAGAATCACTAATATTCATGCTGGAAAGTAAGCCCTGAGTCATTTCTCCTGTCACCCTGTATCATGGGAGTCTCAGTGGGCGCATCTACATTTGAGCATTTACTGTGCAGTAACCAAAATGACTGTGCAGTACAGGCACGTGTCTACACGTGCAAACTCATATTGCGCATTAAATATGGTGACTTATGCCAATTTGAGTGTAAATTTGATACGTGCATCATGCAGATACCAAATTTACACCTGATTAGTTACTGCACAGTAATGCATGTGTAGACACCTTACTGTGAAGTAACACAGCATTAATGCACTTTAACGCCTGCACGTGTAGATGCTGACCTATTCCTACTTACTGCATAGTAAAATTAAGCCAGAGTAAATTAATGCTACAATCTAGGCAGGCTGCCTTCTTAGAAACCTCTAAAACCCTGGTGGCAGGGGCACTGCAGAGTTGGGGGGGAAGCTTGAACTTGGGATTTATATATTGGGATTGCATGATGTGGAGCTTCTGACCAGTACTTGGGCCCATGGGACAACCCTGGAAGGCAGGTGGGATTCAGAATTATGTCTACATGGCACAACACAACTGGGAGCCTTTCCAGCTGCTGGGACCACCCAGGATTGGAAAGGTATAAGATGGTTCAAAACCACCACCTCCTTGGGCACTGCAAACTTAATGCTGTGCTTTTCTGCACAGAATCTCACTCAACCAAAAGGCAACAACAAGGACCACAGACTAGCTGTCTTGGTTGCAAATCCTTGAAGCTCTGCTGCCATGAGATCTCACACCAAAGTGGGCAGACACTGCAAGACTTGCCAAGGTCTACACAGCCATCTTTTAGTATATCTTCACTTGTAACTTGAGAGGAGAGCAAGGTGAGTGAAGGGAACCCTTGGGGCAGGAACTGTTCTGCTGTGTTTGTACTGCCCCTGGCTCAATAGGTCCTTGTTTGGGGTTGGGTTTCACAGGCACTACATCAATCAAATACATACATACATATATGCAATAGAAAGCAAAGGAGCCCTGGAAGAGGTTCCATGGTTCTTACTGGATCCAAAGTTGCTTCCATTGCCACCAGGCCATGCCTGGGACCAGCCCTGAGGAGCAAATCCAACCCACTCTCTCCTACTCAGTACATACCACAAAGCAAAAATGAGGCATCCGTGAGTATGTGCTACTGTCCCCTCAGACTTTCTCTCTTGCACATGTTTAGGGCTATTCTAAGCCAGCTCCACTGTCGTATTTCTGGGCTTCATACACAGTGTGGAAGCAGGGACGACATAATAGTTAATGGCTTGATATGAAGGGAGGGTAGGCATGGTCATTGTTACTGTTTAATAAAAATGAAAAACAGCTTAGTCACATAGACACTCCAAGAAACAGTCCCACTTCCTGCCATTCCTCCCCAGTCAGTAGCACTAGCCAAAGCCAGATACCTACCGAAAAGTCCATCATCTAATTTGCATCTTGTATAGCTATATAACACCCAATATGTGAGGTACAGGGAAGTGGCTATTTTGATAAACATGTACAGTACTGGAACTAAAGGGGGCAACTGGGGCAGCAGCCCTAAGTGCTGCCTTTGTGGGAGGGCATCAAAACAGCTGCACCCACAGAAGCAGCTGATGGTGCCACTGAGATGGGCACCATGGCAGCTGATGCTACCCAAAGCATCATGTGGCTGCCCCAGGCCCAGAGCTACCCAGCTATGCCTGTGCACCTGTACCATGCTTTGCAAGTTGCTCCTAGCTGCTCCTCAATGCCTGCCCTTTGGGATACCATTAATATGTTATGGTGAGTAGCATCTTTCTAAGTAAGATAGGCAAGAACAGAATTTGAGTTTTTCATAATCAGGTTAACCCCCAATAAATTTACAAGCAGTGAGTTACCTACCAGTCATGTAGTCATTCCACTTGTAAATTTTACAACTGTTCCTCACAAATCCATCATGTCCATGCATCCTTCAAGAGTGAAACCAGTTCTACAGTGAATAGGGATATGAGGCAGGACATGCCATGGGAATCTTTAAAATCCACCACGGACTTCAGAGTTGTTAATGTTTCATTAGAAGGAAGTTTGGTATTGAAGTCCATTGCCTGAGCACATCCTTCAAACTACAACCCAAGGGTAAGCACATTGCCAGTGCCCATGCCATCTTGTGATTAGCTTTCTCAGCTCCATGTAGAAACTGTATTTCAATTCCTCCTGTGTGTTTTCTCTTTCATGCCATGGCAGTGGTAGCTATAAGTTGGTCCGGTCCCAGAGTCATGTAACTGAAGAACTGTTTTCTGCAACTACCCCCCCTAACCCATATGTTTGTAGGTAGGAGGAGGGTCAGATAGCATCTGCAGTTACTTAAGCCAGGTCTTCATGTTGTTGGGTTTTTTTACTGTTCCATCATGGGAGAATGGAAACGCTAAACAACACAAGCTGAATGAATGGCTTGGGACACTACAGCTACCTTGCAACAGTTATATACACATGCAATTCTTCAAGAAGCATATGGTATCAGGCAAGAAACTTGATGCATTTTACACTGGAACAGGATGTACAGTAGAACTAAACACATCACCTTGACCTATGTAACAGTAGCAATTGTAAACTTCTTAAGAGAAAGTCCAGGCAATAATGGCTGGGGCACATAGGAACTGGGAAATAGTGCTGTGTTAGGCACCCTGTACTTACGAGATCAGATGCTCTCTTTTGCACTTTACAAGAAGTTAAAAGTCCACTGCTTGAGTGGGTACAAATTCAACATATAGTAATGCTGCTAAAACCCAAGAAGCAAGTTACAAGTTGCAATAACAGAGGTAGAACCATTACAGACATACTTGTACTAATAGCTATACGATATTTAATTGGGCTGAGGTTCGAATTGGCACGTTTTTACCAGATCACTCATATTTTTAAAGAAAACTGTCCCCGAAACAGCTGGTGACAGTTTAACTTTGTTCATAAAGTAAAAATTGTTTGATGGGGTCTGGGACCGGAAGGGAGCGTATCAGACACAGACGGGATTTGCCGAGTATTATCCTCACAGCTACACGGCACAGAGACAACAAGCTCCTGGTATGGCCTACAACAAAAAAAGGACAAAGGAAAGACATTGAGGGAGGGAAAGCAATAACTGCATAAAAACAACAGATGCAACCTGAACTGGGCCAGGTGTCCAGCAGGTGTAAATTGCAATAGTTCGACTGACTTCCATGGAGCAATACTGATTCTATCATTGAGGATTTGTCCCATGTTCTATACCTCAATGGGAAGTCAGCACAGAAAAAACCACTTCTGTGCTACTATTTGCAAGAATCAAATGATCCATTTTGCAAAATCAGATGATTCATTTTGTAAAAGCTCAGCCTCAGCTGTGTTTCATGTGCAGTTTTCAGGGCTGCAGGGGAAGGGAGCAGTCTGTGTTAGCTGTTACTTCTTCAGCTGAGGTAAATGAGGTTGGTTCCAGTGAAGTCAACAGAGCTACAGCTATTTGTGCACC